CCCCAAAACCCCAAAACCCCAAATGGCTATGATAATAATATCTAAGTGAAATGTAATTTTCAAAATATAATAAACTTGTCAAAAGCCATTCATCTCTTTTTCATTAATGGCTAATATTGAAAAAACTTTCCATTTACTTATATAGGACTATCTTATACAGATTAATTCATTGATGCTCCTCCACTAAATATCTATCTATCCTTTTTGCCTAAATTTCTCAGATTTTTCTGATGCTTTCTCCAATCTCCACCAGTTAAGCTAACAATATTTCTTGGTGTGATCTATTGAGACGCTATCATGAGTTCTCTTTGCTATATTCCTTAATAATTTACCATTATTGAACTTTCATTCTATAGTCTATCAACAGAATTATTGGTATTAGAGAGAGGATTGTTCATTTTAAGGTCTTCATTCATCTGCTATTCAATCTAGCTTTTTCTTTGTTCAACACTTAATTTCTTTGTCAAATTTGGGAAAAACTTATTGCCAGATTTCGGGAATGGGAAATTTTTGCTTTAAACTGGTTCCTAAAATAATTGCTAAGGGTCAAAATTATGCTGGTTATATCTAGCTGAATTTGGTACAAAGTCAAGACTCATATTCTTATTCTTAATAGGTTTGTGCTAGGGAAATAGTTGATTGGAGTTGTCATTGAATGAATCAAACAAGGAGTTATTTGTGTCAATTCCCTAGGAATATTAGGTGGACATGAAAGGTTGCTTATCTAATGAATTCCTCTTCAATTAAAAGGTATTTTTGCTTCTCAATCCTCTATGATTTCTTAATCCAAAAGATGGTTGCTTGATTAACTGATCTTCGCTTAAAATCAAGCCTCCAATGTTTTGCTAATGAGTGATTAGTTCATTAAGGTTTGAAAGTGTGCTTAGAGTTTCAATTTTCAATCTCATGTTTAGGATTTAATCTGGATTAATTGATACTATAAAAATTTAGCAAGATTAAATTTACTATCTGTCATGATGCATTGATCTGTCACAGACTTAATGCTTTACTCTTTGTATAGGATAGATGATTTTCTGAATGCATATTTCTATTGAGTATCAGCTCTTATGCTGTTTTTAATTTGAATTTAGTTATCGATAGTCCCAGTTTCATTAGTGATCTAAGTTTCCCCTCCTCTACTCTCTAATGTAGCTTATTATTCATTGATGTTGACATTGAATCTTCTTAATTTTCCATAAGTCATTAGATTATCAACAATATGCGCATCTAAATAAAATTTTATAAAATAAATGGCTTTACAATTTTCTGCCTCAACATACTATTCGACTGGTTTCTTGATAATACTTTCTCTTCTCTATGAAAGTGGCATCTTTTTGGCAGGACTTTTTCTTTGTTGAGGTTCTTCTCTAATAGTATCATTCTAAAGAGCCTTAGTTATCTCGTATATCTCAATCTATAAAATGCTTATTAGTGTGGTAAATACCTGGCATTATATATCTTTATCTGATTTCCTCTGCTTAACAGGTTCAACTTAGACTCCGAAATCTTTCATGTCATGAGGTTCCTCTTTAATCTTTTAGCGGATAGTAGGTGACTTGTTAAATGTCTGTCTCAGCTTTTTATTTTTATTGATAGCAGATTTGACCTGCTCCTTAAAGTCTTTATCTTTGGAGTTACTATCAAGTTAATTGATATTTTTGGTATTCACTCTGAGTGACTCCTTACCCTTCCTGCTAAGTTCAGGCACCTTCATTGAGTTATCACTTTCAACTGAATTATTCCTGTTCTTAAACTTAGATTCAGTATAAGGTTTATTTTCTGGTGTTTGCTCATCAAAAGTAAAATTATTAATGGCCTCCTTTCTTATACCAATAGGACTCTTTTTAACCCCTTAAGGAGATTATATAGTCTTTATCCTGTTTGATGACGCATCTCTCCTCATTCGACTGCCTTGGCTATCTCGAGAGTCATATTTATTACCTAACATCGGACTTAGCATATTCAAATGACCCATAATACCTCCTTTCGAGTCTCATCTTCCAAACATGTCCTCTTTTTTCTTATCAGATGTAATTGGAGCACCGATGGTTCTTGTTTTCATGATAACTCTAGTTTAAAGAGCAGCTATACTTGGCTTATATTTCTGTGGGTTATTTAATTGAATCTAGAATTCATCTGTAGAGAGATCTACCCCAAGTAACTCCATCAAAGACTCACTCATAAGAGCATTTACTATGGCTCTTCTGTCAATTTCATTATTCCCCCAGAGTTCATCTATCAAATGAAGTTTGCAATTTTTCATAGAATTTCTAATCTCAATGAATTAGTTCTTTAATTCAACAAATTTCTGGACCTATAATAATTCAGATGTTTAATTATTTTACCTTATCATAAACTGGCTGCAAATTCAATTTTTTTAGATTCTGATATTCTTTGTTAAAGATCATTATTCTGAGTTTATCTGATACGTCCTCACAGCCAAGATCTGCAAGGATTTTCTTCATGCACATCTCCAGATTAAAATTAGCATTCTCCAAATCTTTAAACTGAATCTCCAAGAGAGCCTATATAAAGGTATTAGTAATGTCTTAATGATAAATTGCACCTTCTAATCTTGAATACTTAGTTTTTCCATTTAAAGTAAGTAGATCTCGCTTTTATTTTTCTTTACGGTCACCTAGAAATTTCTGATGACCTTAATCAAGAGTTGAATCTTGCTCTAAATATCATTGATTAATCTAGTTAGGTAAATTACTATTGCATCTTCCATGTCACTAGGTGAAGATGCTCTTATGAGTAATTTGTTGATCTCTTCATCTGTAATGTGTTCATTCATGATTTTACTCTAGTAATCATTCAGCATCATCTGCGTAAGTTCCATATCTCTATTATGCTTCATCTTATAGTCGTTAAAACTAATCTACAGTTTTTAGTCATTGAGTATCTATTACTTCTAAAGATTCTAAATAGAAGCAATGAATTTTTTTCTGCTAATCAATTTTCCTTAGATAGTGGTCGATAAGATTTTATCTCTCGATTTAGTAGCCCTTGATATCATCCTCTAGCTTTTTCTCGAACTCCTCTGCTGTTACCCATAACTCTCCCTAAAAATATATTGATATGTTCATTCAATTACTTGTAGCTACTCCAAGTCATAATTTGAATCAATTTTAGCATTATCCCAGATCTCCATCATCTCCCTAATCTTCTCCCCTGGTGGTTCATCGCCCAATAGTTTTAATGTTTATGGCCTATCTTCTTCTATCAAGCTGAGCTTATATTGTGCTTCTATATTGTTATCCTCGACCTCTTCTGCCATTCTATCTATAGAATCACACTTCTTTATTATATTGTTGAACATTTCCTAGACTCTCTCCAAGTCATTTTTGACAAAGTTTTTCTAGCGTAGCTTTTCCTATTTTAATTTTTCTTCTTGTTCTTTTATTTTTTCATCATCAAGAGTCTTAAATCTATTTTTAGCTGTTTGGATTTTAATTTGTCTTTGATTCTCAATGATTGTGTGCAAGTTCTAGAAAAGTCTGTATTCATGTTTGGAACCAGATGTTTTCATAAATTCTTGAATTAATGGCTTATTATGTCTGATTTCAGTCATTACCAAGGTATCAATCTAAAGTAAATAAACAATTGTAAACGATTTTTACCTGATTAATGAAATTTTTCATAAAATTTTACATAGACTTAGATCGGATAATTATACTGGACCACATAAGCTTATTAACTTTTAATTTTTCAGCCACCTAAAATTATATATAAAATTACTTAATGACTTGGCTTACTTCGAAATTTTCATCCAGTCGTTTCACTAAATGATCAAAGGCTAACTACACTACGTTTTACTACAAATCCTATTTATACTTAGTCTTAGCTTATAAAAATTCCTGATAAAATTCCTAGTGAGCGAAACTATGTCAAGGGTTATAAAGAGTATAGCTGTTCAAAAGATTCAGTCCCTCATCAGGCTTTACTATGGGAGCTCTAAATGAAATCGGCATTGATTGGTTCCGTTAGTGCTTAGCTACGATTCCTATTGGCTTTTCTAATTTAGATGACATGATTTAGATAAAATCCTAGTTTTTATTATTGTTAATTAATTTACTTTATTTATTGAGCCGATATTCTTAAAATGCTACTCACTGGGGTTTTGGGGTTTTGGGG